GCTGAGTGTGTGAGAGAGCAGGAAGTTAAAAGCAGGCAGAAGCCAGAGAGGGAGAGCCATGCTTGATTCCTGCTTGTGCCTATGGGAAAAGCAAGACCTTCTGGGCTGTTATCCACCATAAACTCAGATTATATATAGGGGTATATAAGCAATTGGGACGCGGGTGGCACTGTGGGTTAAACCACAGAGCCTAGGACTTGCCAATCAGAAGGTCGGCAGTTCGAATCCCCGTGACGGGGTGAGCTCCCGTTGTTCAGTCCCTGCTCCTGCCAACCTAGCAGTTCAAAAGCATGTCAAAGTGCAAGTAGATAAATAGGTACCACTCCGGCAGGAAGGTAAACGGTGTTTCTGTGCGCTGCTCTGGTGTGCCAGAAGCGGCTTAGTCATGCTGGCCACATGACCCGGAAGCTGTATGCCGGCTCCCTCGGCCAATAAACCGAGATGAGCGCTGCAACCCCAGAGTCGGTCACGACTGGACCTAATGGTCAGGGGTCCCTTTACCTTTTTATATAAGCAATATATCCTAAAGGCACTACAGTCTCTGCTGAGCCTCATTCACGAAGGAAACACAAACCTGTGTAAGCACCCAGAACACCTGGAATCTTGCACTGCTTGGAGATTGGTGTGGCATGCAACAATACTATTTACCCTACTCTGCCCAAGGGCAACATTCCCTTATAGGCAACTTTCTGAGAGTCCCATGACAGTGGTGGGCATAGCCATAGGCAGGCATGGGCACAGCAATGTGTGTAATTTTTACAATTATGTACTGGGCTGCTTTATATACACACTCACATGCCCTTCTCTATTCTTATATACAGGCAAGCAAGAGAAATGATCAGTGTTCAAGGGTACATTCCAGCCATGAAAAAAAACAAAAACAAATGGGGGCAGGGAGGGGCATGGCCTTGAGACAGTTCCCAGGGCCAAAGGGAGAAATGTTGAGGGCCACATCCACCCCTTAGAATACATCTTCTGGGTGTAAGTACACTATGGTATGCAATGCTAGTGCTACTTGAAGTAGACCTGTTGGAATGAATGAACCCAAGTTAGCCACCTGTGTTAACTATAGTAGGTCTCTTCTGAGCAGGACTAACATTGGAAAGAACACTGAAAGTTTATAAGCAAAGCTGAACCACTCGCAGTAACCCTCTGAAAAATTACCAGAATCCGTGCAGGGGTGCACTGAAGTTAGAAAATGTCTTAGCTCCAGATTTTGCTCCTTTCTCTTACAAGCTCTGTTCATAAATTGAACTGTGCATCAAAATAAGATAGAAAAATGTATTTTATTATTATTTTGCTTTTGGCAGGGCAAAGAAATGAGGCATTTATCTGCAGAATGGCTAGGTCTTTTTAAGCTTTTCCCTAGGCTGGTCTGTGCTTTGGCTCTTGCCAGCTCTTTGGAGTGCAGTTAATCAGCTGAAATTAAAAATAATTACCTTTGGAGATTTGTATCTCCCTTATTTTACCTGAAATTCTAAGCTGCTTTAGAAGACATTGCCATTTAGGAAATGCTGCAAGGCTCTTTCAGCACAACTTGTTTGCAAGCTACCCTTGCTTTCCTGATCTCAGCCAAGGAGAATTCCCAGTTGCTGCACCAGACACCTAACCACCCCGTCCACCAAGGACTCATTTTCCAGGCTGGTTCCTAAGTACAGAGCCTGGTTGCAACCCAGTTGTTCGTCCCTTCCACCAGGAATTTCTGCTATGTCACTGAAATAAATAAATAAACAGGCTTTGCTAGAAGATAAGACACTGTCCTACTCCAAAGCCAGCTTCATACCGTTACTTTGAAGCACTATGATACCACTTTAAACAGCCAAAGAATTCTGGGAGCTGTAGTTTGCTAAGGGTGTGGTGAGTTGTTAGGAGACCCTGTTACCCTCCCAGAGCTACAGTTTCCAGATAAATTTAACAATCAATCCCTTTCCCCAGGGCACTATGGGAATTTATCTCGGGAAGGGGACAAGGGAGAATAGCCACCTAACAACTCTAAGCAAACGACAGCTCCTTAATTATTTTGGGGGGAGCCACAGCTTTTTGAAGTGGTAGTACATTGGTTTAAATGCACAGAGTGGATGTGACCTTAGTCACTGTCCAAAGGAAACACATATACAAAGGTGTAGTTGCTTTTATAATGAAAAGAAGAACAGCAAGTGTAAATCAGTGAATTCTGCTCCTGATTTCATTTCTGCCAGAACACCTGCATTATCCAGTATCCCCGGCCTGACACCAACGCTCCCTCTTCTCCCACCAAATTAAGCCCGCTTCCCAATGAAGCTCCTGTCAGGTGCAGTTTGAGAAAGTGTTGGATGCCTCCTAGATTTGGAGACTGCTTGTCTCTCCTTCTGTGCCATCAATGGAAGCTGTGGGTGCCCAGCATGAGACTATTGGCTGCCAAACGTCATCTCTTTTTCTCTTCTTTTCTATTTTCCCCAGCAGAAGAGGTGGTTGTCCCAGTTACGGGATGAATCAGCCCTCCAAGTTAACAATGACGCAGGAGCAGGAGGTTTATTTTATTTCATTCTTCCTCCCCCCCCCCCCCCCGTGGTTCCAGCAGGCTTTGTCTCAACAGGGCACTGCCGATGAAATCACAGTGATTCCCCCCAAACGCCTCTCCTTAATGCCAAAAGTACAGCCCTTTATCCAGTCCCCAGCAATGAAGCTAACGATGGGGAGAAGAAACAGCCGCGATCAGAAAACCTCAGCCAGCTTGTGATGCTTTGTGAATCCTAAATGAAGTTGCAGGCTCCATAGGGGTGCTCCCCCCCCCCCATGCATTCTGTGCTTGAACAATGCCCCTCCTCCCACATGGCCTCTCCAGAGGAATGACAGCCTGATAACATTCATATTTCCCTCAGGGCTCTTGTACAGAAAAACCTTTTTACCTGCTGCTCTGTGGAAGGACCCTGGGGGCAGGCTGTGGGCCTCCCTTTGTCCAATCCATAGCCCATCCTAGATAGCTGCCAGAAGTGCAGAAGTCCTAAGAATGCAAGAAGAGCCATGCAAGCAGATCAGGCCAAAGGGGCTCCTGGACTAGACAGGCTATGGGTAGGCTTGCCATACGTCAGTAAAATTCCTGATATGTCCTGGTCTTCAGGTGTAAAAATGATGTAGGGGGGAATTTGGCTGAATCAGCAAAATGTCAGGGAAAACCCAGATGTATGGCAGCGTGATGGAAAAAGCAGTGGAAACAGCTCCAGAAGCTTAAAATCACTATTTTGGGGGGAGGCTTTCCTCCAAAAAACTCAACAATTTTGGGGTCTTCCTAAAAAAAAAAAGTGCAACAACTTTGCAGGTGCCAGGAATTTGAAATATGGCAACCCTAGAGTGGGCCTGATCTAGCAAGGCTCTTTTTGTGCAACATTAGCACTCTGTTGAAGGTCTGAGGAGTGCTCTGGAGACAGAACAGAGCTATGGATGGATACTAGTCACCATGGGTGCCATCTTGAATAAAATATTGGGGGGGGGGGGATTTCCAAGTAAGTCCTGCCCTGCATAATCGATCACATGATGTGGTGCACGGACGCCATTTGAATGGCAATGCCCATCAAGTCTAGGGTGGTGCCCACATCAAATATTTTATATCAAAGACCTCTTGACCCCTAGGAATTGGCTCCTATGCTAGTCACAATAGCTGTAAATTGCCTCCATTGTTAAAGGCAGTGTGCTCTCTGAATGGTGGTTGCTAGGAACTGCAAGTGAGGAGAGCGGTTGTTGCGCCTGGATCCTGCATTCGGGCTTCCCTTAATAGGCATCTGGTTGACCCCTGAGAGAACAGGATGCTGGATTAGGTGTTCTCTCAGGGGCCAACCAGATGCTCATTACGGGAAGCCTGAATGCAGGACCTGAGTGCAACAACAGCTCTGCCCACTTGAAATTCCCAGCAAAGAGAGTGCACACTGCCTTCAACAACTGAGGCAAGATACACCTCTGCCCATAGCCTAACTAGTCCAGCATCCTTTTCTCTCTGTGGCCAGCCAGATGCCCATCATAGGAAGCCCCCCCCCAGCAGGATCTGAATGCAACAGCACTCTCTCCACTTGTGATTCCCAGCAACTGACCTTCTGAATCCAACATTAACTTCAACAGGTTCCAAATGCAGCAGCCTGATTACTGGTCTGGCTTGCGCTTAGTTCTCCATTTTAAAACAGCTGCATTGCTTGCCAAGGCCCAACTGAAGATGCTCACATTTGTGCTTAAAGCCTTACATGGCTTTGGCCCCAAAGACCACCTCCTTCCCTAAAGACCTCCTTGGATGTGAAGATCAGACAATTGTAGTTCTATTGATAGTTCTGCTGCCTCCAGAATTGTGGAGATTCTCCCCTAGAGAGGTGTGCTTGGCACTTTCACTATACAATATTCATCAAGTTTTAAATGTGGTATTTTAAGTTGTTGTGACTTGCCCTGGGACGTCAGGGCAGGCAAACAGCAGCAGCAGCAGCAGCAACAACAACAACAACAACAACAACAACAACAACAACAACAACAACACACAGCCATTTGGGCTAGTAGTTATTGACAGCCTTGTCCTCTGAATGGTAGTAATTCTCCAAGCTCTCAGGATGATGCTGTATAATGTAATCGGCTGGTAAGCAAATTAGGTGTGCTAAATTGGCAGTACAGGACACGCCTCCCCCAAAGCAATTCATGCAAATATGCCTTTATAGAATCCAAATGGAGGCCTATGCAAATATCCAGAGACTTTGGGGTATGAAACCCTTGAACTTCGCTTCACTCCAACAGTTTTAATCACTCGCCAAAGTCATTTGTTGCCTCACGTCCTCCCTGTATATGCTACTGCTTAAAACATATTTACAGTAAATGTATCCACTTTGACCTGACAATGTTGTTGAAGCCCTGCAGGGTGCTAATTCTGCATACCTGGATTGTCCACATTTTGTTAGATTCATCCAGGAATTAAGAAAACCTTTATTACTACCATCATAATGTAATGAGGAGGGAGGCCAGAAACCAAAGTGCCAACTCTTCATTTCTTAAGCATCCTCAAATCCTAGAGGATCGAACTCACGACCTTGGCATCATCAGCACCACGCTCTAGCCAACTGTGCTAACTGCCAAACCCTTTGCCAACCTGATGCCCTCCAGATGTTTCAGACTACAACCCCCATTAATTCCATCTCTGCTGAGGCTGATGGAAGTTGTCATCGAAAGGATGTGGAGGGCACAAGGTTGGCAAAGGCTATAGCAGCTACTGTTCCTCCTACTGTAAAGTCTGGGATGAAAAATACATAGGAATCAAATTTTCTCTCTCAGAGCAAGTTATCTTGGAGCCAGGTTCCTTTGTTTCAAAAGTCCTTTTATTTATTTATAACCCATCTTTCCTCCAAAGAACTAAACACAGTGCACAAGGTTTTATCCTCACAGCAGCCTTGCGGGGTCAGTTAGGCTGAGAGTTGGTGACTGGCCCAAGGTCACCCTGCAAGCTTCCTGGCCAAGTGGGGATTTGAATCTGGTCTCTCCCAGTTCAGCCCTCTAACTACACCACACTGGGCCGCTTCAATCAAAGTATCCCTATATATAAGTGGAGTCTGGTGGAACCTAGATTTGGTGTGATGCGTAGGAGGCCACGTGGGTAGTGCCCAGGTCCCGATCCTCCCTTTTGATTTAATCTTGTTGCAATAATTAGTCAACCACTCTGTGGCTTTCCCCCCTGTCCATTTAAGGGGGAGCTCAATGCAGCTTACTCTTCTGCAAGTGGACAGAGAACTGCAGGCCACATGCATCATTCACCAAAGTAAAACCATAGCAATTTTCCCACTGACATATAGTGAGCTTCATGGCTGAGTGAAGTTTGGTTTTGAACCCAGGTCTCCCAAGGCCCTTTGTTGTTGACATCTGTCTGTCCCGAGAAACAATGGAGTATGAAGTCAAACCTCTGTGCCTGGGCAGTGTGCATGAAGGTCCTGGTCTGCCCAGACAACAGAACCCCCTCCCTCTCAGGCTTGCTGATGAGGTCCAAAGTAAAGCAGAGCATACATTTGGTACCAGCTTGGCTGCACAGGTTGTTGGAAGGATGTGTACAAGTCACCATCCATCCATCTCAGGGATTTGTGTAGGATTTGCTCTATGGCCTTTTCTTCTCCTGAATATATCTTGCAAGGCAACAGAGGTTTAGGATCAGAGTTTGCCTTCTACTAGATGGGCTCCCTTCCCAGGTGGACGAGCCCCACCTGCCCCTCACTTCCCTCTCCAGCATGTGCAGAAACCGCCTTCTTAACCGTTGGACCCACTATTGGTCTCATCCACTCCATCTGCTGGAGCCTGTCACTGCATGCTGGGGAAGTCCTTAACTCAACAAGGGTTTGAGACCCATTGGCTTCCCTCACCTGGTTTAGCCAGCCAGTCGAAGCTGTTCCTGGGGTGTGGCTGCAGTCGCCTGCTGACACCTTCTAGGAGCCCCAGGTTGTTGCAGAAATGCCTCAAGGTGAGAGCTGAGCGCAGGGTGAGGACCAAAGGTGGACAAATCACCCCAGAAGGAGCACCATGTGCCCCACACCAGAGGTACAACCCCTCCCCTAACACCCCATACACCCTCCCAGGTCCTATCCAGCAGTCTTTAGCTGCAATTCCTGCACTGCAGGGGGTTAGACTATATGGCCTCCACATCTCTTCCAATTCTATACTTCTGTGATTCAATGATAATTAAATTTACTTACTTTTTTTTTTAAATGTATCTTTATCAAAAAACTAAGCGCAGTCCACAATACAAAAAACAGCCGAGAAATAGCAAGAAAACAAATCTTAACTGAACAAAGCTGTAGTAAATAAAAATGGAAATCAACAGCAAGTTTAAAGGTCAAAATGCAGCAATAAAATAAAATAAAATTGACAAATTCTCTTCATAAAATGCCGACTGAAATTTTATAGATTTATTCTGATATTTATTAAAGGAACCTTCAGAATTTTGTGGGAGGGATTCAAGCGAATACAATAGGCATTTAGATTTGTGCAATTAAAATAAATTAAAATGCTCTATTGCCTGAGCACAGCAAATCCACTTTAAAAAAGGAAACAGGCTTTTTGCAGTTCAGCTATTGACAGGAAAATCCATTTAAAAGTGTGAAATAAATAGATGATTAATGGGAAGATGCATGTGTAAACACCCTGAAAACAAACAAGAATGAAGGCCCAATAAAGACGGGACACAATCTAACATCTATGCCAACTCCTTGCAAGCGTATCAGGATGAATGCTTAATAAACAAAAACCTGCATTAAGCTAAATTTATATTCATGTCTTAACCTAAATTTTCTCTTTTATGAGGTGCCTTGGGAGGGCTTGGGTTCAAAAGTTGTGTGGGGGGGAAATAACTTAACAATATACTAACCACCCAGATTGGTTTGGGAGGCCTGGCCAGATGGGTGGGGTATAAGTAATAAATTATTATTATTATTATTATTATTATTATTATTATTATGTATTTTGGGAAGCTAACTGTTTGGAGACCTCTTAAGATATCCTAACTAAACTGTTCATGATGGTTCCTGAGCTCAAGGAATAGGTTTTCATGTTGAACCAAGATGGCGGACTGAATCTTTCTAAACTGCTTTTTTGGTTTCTGAGACTTCATGTCCACCTTTGGTACGAGACCTGTTGTAATAAATTAGATGGAAAGTCCTTCATTTTGCAGGGTAGTGAAATGCCAATGAGGATGGGGCTACATTGAGTTGCTGAACCAGCTGAATAGATTCATCCTTCTGGCAATGGGGAGGAAAAGTATTCTGATAGTCAACAGTTGTTGGGAGGTTTTTCATCCCCAGTGAGTAACAAACCTATTGCTGAAACTTCTAAAACGCCCATCAGATCAGCTTGTCACAATCATTTGTGTTTGCTGAGTTCTCTGCACAGCAATTCTTGCATAGTTCTCTGTCTTCAGCAGATGTGAATGACATCTTCTCAATCCTGTGCCTTTCATTACATATGTGATTGGCATTCCTCTGAGGGATGGTGCAGCTAAACGAACATAGTTATTGTTCACTTTTAATTATGACCTGCCCCCCCAAGATGGAGATGCTTTGCTGCGGTTCCCAGGCACCCTCCCCCTGTGGGGCTGTTCAGTCCAAGCCCATTTTAAAGATTAAAGACCCCCAAGGAAGGTGCCTCAAAGCTGAGTGCCGACTGCCTTCCCCATTATGGATAAATATATTGCATTTCCATCTCAATTGCAGTAATCATTTCTAAATTTGCCTGCAGACACACGAGAGCTGCAGTTCAGCAGTGGAGCACCTGCTTTGCATGCAGGAGGTCCCAGGTTCAATGCCCAGCATCTCCAGGAAGGGCTGGGAATTGTCCCCTGTTTCCAAGCCTTCAGATCCCTGCTGCCTTTCAGTGTAGACAAAGCTGAGCTGGATGGGATAGCTTAGGACATTACGTACTTGTGAAAGAGGCACCCCCACCCGTGTGTCCACTCAACCATTTTGAACTATGGAAATGATGCTGTTATAAATGCCACGATTAGCACTTGAAAGAATTTGTTTTCAGTGTGGCAGCACCCACACTTTGGAACTCCCTGCCTGTTGACATAAGTTGCTGGCAATTTTAATAAATCGATAAAAATAAATAAACATTTTAATCTCTTTTTACTGGCAAATTAAATTTTTTAAAAATGTTTTGAACAGTTTTTAAAACTGATAATTTTAATATTTCCTGCAAACTGCTTGGAGGATTTTCTACAATCATGTGGTGTATACATTTTGTTAAACAAACAAACAAACAAGAGGAACCAATGGAGTGAGTCGGTACAAGGCAGCATTCTATGTTCCTATAAATCTGCATATTGAAATTCTATGTAAATCTGCAGACTTTTGGGGGGTGGGGTGGTGATGCATTTCTTCTTTTTGGTCATGTGCAGATGGGGCCAGCTGCCTCTCCTGCCCTCCCATTCCCAGGCCAGCAATCCTGTCCCTCCTGCGGGAAGGGAGACGGGGGCCACTGTCAGGGGCATTGTCACTGAGAGGCAGGCCAGAAATAAGTTTTGTGGGCCCATTTGGTGAGCTGGAACTCCTGACTTTGTTCCTTGACTTTCTATCACCACAGGAAACATGACCACATCACTCTCCTTTCCACATGTCCACACCTCTCCTCCTACCAAAGATTTGCTCCTGAGAGACTGCAGCAGAAGCCAGACACCAAATCATCTCCTTCACTTCATTCCACACACACTGCAAAGTCCCTGGGATCTCAGCGGTTCTGGCATCAGATCAGCCCATAAGAAGGGCTTTTCACTGACAAGCTAAAACTCATTTGAAGGTTCACAGCTGGCATCTTGGCATGTTTCAGGAGATGTCCTTGCTAGATTAGGGAAAATAAAAAAGTGCCAGGATGGCTGATCTTCAAGGAGACCCCCTTGTGTGACTGACTTTGAAGCCATACAAGTTTTGATGAAGGTTTTAACGATAATCCAACAAGGACTCCCAATGTGTGCCAGAAACGCTCCCAGATGCAATGAACTTCCTTCCAACAAAACCTTTTTGATACCTTCAGTCGTGTTTGGGATGTTGCTAAAGTCACTGGTTGGATCCAAATAGAGTGTGGAGGGCGGGAAGCATAACTGGAGAGTCTGTTTGCATGACCTTCCACCCTCCCTGCTGCACATGAGGCCAAGGGGTGAAACATGCACAACCATATCAAACAAGGCAGTGGTTCAAAATCTCCCCTGCCCCCACCCTTGTGAACCACTTGAAAATTGCTGGGGATTTTGGAGGACGACTTAATGCTTTTTCCTGGTCTGTTCTAGCCATCATGATGCACTGTGCTAGATGCTGTAAGGTTTTTAAATGAATCAAGATAAAACCTTAATTCTAGCTTACCACTAACTTTGCTGCTAACTCTCTCCACTCCTTTCAGGTGCCTCCTCTCCCTGCCCATCACTTCTGGTCCATCCTGCTCACCTTCTGGTTGGACCACCAGGTTCTAAAAATAATAGAGCAGCTGCTGCACCCACCATTCACAGCTGATGCTTCTGCTGTTCTTCACAGATATGCCACAGACCATCTAAATAGGCTGTAACAAATTAAGCATCACTCACTCATCAACTTGCCCCAGAAACAAACCCT